CTGGCTGGAGGAGTGGGGGACGTGTGGATAGAACCCTTGTCTCTCAGAGCTAACTCCCTATCCAGCAGACCGGCTTCATCTCTGGCTGCATTTAGACTGCAGGCTTCTTTCAGAAGAAGCATTTCCTGAAGAGATCTTCTGAAAAAACTTCTTCCAAAAGAGAGTGTCCACACTGCCAAAGCACATCGAAAACCAATCTGCTTTTTTTAAAGATAGAGTCCACATTTAATGGACGCTATCTCACATGTAAGATGTGAGTACTATGGACGGAGGACTTTCCCTTCTTTCCTCTTCTTTTGAAAAAGAACTCCCTCTTCCTCATCCACACACGCCTTTTTCCAAAGGAGCTCTTTCGGAAAAAGGCTTCTTCCTTGTACAAAGAGGTTTACCAATGTCGGAAAACCCCCTCTGTTTTTTCAATTTTTTTCTAAAGAACACAATTGCAGTGTGTACGTAAGTGACTTTTTTTGGAAAAATGGCTGTTTTTCTGAAAAAACTCTGTAGTGTAAACATAGCCTCTCTGCTGCAGGCAGGCAGGCAGGCAGGCAGGCAGGAATTCTGATACACGGGAGCAAAAACAAAATAGTTCTCTAAGGATATGTCTACACTGCAACACTATTTAGAAATAACTAGCACTATTCCAAAATAACTTAGTCCACATCTACACAGCAGGTAGTTATTTCAAAATAGTGTCAAAATACTGAAGTACTGGAGGATTTCTTCCTCTGACTCCTGTAACCCTCATTGTACAAGGAATAAGGGAAGTCGGAGGAAGAGTGCTCTATTTCGAAGTAAGTGCTGTGTAGATGCTCCCTATTTTGAAATCAGCTATTTTGAAATAAGATATGCAATTGATGTAGCTCAGTTTGCATAGCTTATTTCAAATTAAGCCCTACAGTGTAGACTCATCCTGAGACTCCAGCACAGTCGTAGGAAGTTGGGATGGTTGACAGCATGAAAAGCAGCACTGAGGTCAGAAAGGAGGGAGAATAAGAGAGAAATGAGAGATCATTTACTCCCCCTCTCCCTAGAGGTTGCAGGTTCTGTCCTAGGTTGGGTTATCAAGCTTCTGTGAAATTGTATATTAACTGAAAACCATTTTTTGTTCTGAGTTTGAGAAAAGGAAGAAATCAGAAAGTGTCTGTGGCTGCTTCTCCCTTGCAGTGGGGTGGCCTACTGGTTAGGCTCCAGAATTAGCTGGTGGGAAAGGGGTGCAAACCACTGCCATTGATGCCCCAGGCCTAGGAACTCTGACCCACTATGTTAGAACAAAAGCTTCAGGGGGTAGCCGAGTTAGTCTGTAACTAGAAAAACCTAAAAAACAATGAATAGTCTAGTACAGTAAAACTCCAATAGTCCGGCATCCAATTGTACTGCACTCCTGATAGTCCGGCATCAAAATGGCAAGAGCCTAGTGAGTGAGCTTCAGCAAAAAATGAGTCACAAGGCAGCAATGGCAGCAGCTGAACCAGGCAAAAAGGGTAAAAAGGGGTTGTTAAAACTAAAACATTACAGTATACTGTATACAGTATGTACAACAAAAAGGGTTAAAAAACACTTTATATACAGTATATACTGCATACAGTGTATATATATAACCAGCTTATAGTACCTCCTGATAGTCCTGCATATCTGGTAATCCGGCACCACCTAGGTCCCAAAGGTTCTGGATCATCGGAAGTCAACTGTAGCACCTTAAAGACTAACAAAACGGCTTTGTCTACACTGGCATGAATTTCCGGAAATGCTTAAAACGGAATACTATTCCGTTTTCAGTTTTTCTGGAAAAGGAGCGTCTACATTGGCAGGCTGCTTTTCCGGAAAAGCCCTTTTTCCGGAAAAGCGTCTGTGGCCAATGTAGACGCGCTTTTCTGGAAAAGAGCCCCGATCACCATTTTCGCGATCGGGGCTTTTTTCCGGAAAAGACTACTGGGCTGTCTACACTGGCCCTTTTCTGGAACAGTGTTCCGGAATAAGGACTTATGCCCGAGCGGGAGCAGAATAGTTTTTCCGGAATAGCAGCTGATTTTGTACAGTAGAGCATCGTTGCTTTTCCAGAAATTCAAGGGCCAGTGTAGACAGCTCGCAGCTTTTTCCGGAAAAGCGGCTGATTTTCCGGAATAAGTGGCCCAGGGTAGACACAGCCAACATGCATATGGTATCATGAGCTTTTGTAGGCATAACCCACTTCTTCAATGGCTGAAGTATTTATGTTAATACAGTTCTTCAGTTTGGGGCATGGCCCCAAGAGTCCAGGTTTCCCCTCTTAGTAAAAGTTTCCTGCCCTTTTTGTCCTAGGATGGGTGGGGTGGAGGCTTAATGCCT